CATAGTGCAGAAGACAGCTACTTCTGTCTGATCTGACCGCTGTACATACCCATTTACTTATAAATCAAGCCTCTGTTTTTTCTTCCTTTATTAACTGGTCATAGAGAACTTCCCAAGAAATTACATGTGCAAGGAAGCCACAGAATTAACTTCCTTAGACTTGAAAGTGGCGGGAAAGGGAGTGGCTTCTGGAATGTGGCAACGGGAAGCCAATGTTTCCAATTTGGTTTGTATTTGAAATTTATTATTTATAGCTTTTCTCTGTGGACCACTTGCTCATGAAAACATGCATCCACGCAAAGACTTGCAGACTAATGTTCATAACTGATTTATTAGTGAGTTCCTACCTGGAAACAACACAATATCAATCAACAGGAGAAAGGAAAAAGAAAGCTGGCAACTGTTCTTGAACAGTAGGAGGAGCCTGTGGAACCAAAGCCATGACTGAGGTCGAATTTATTTATTTGAGAGGGAGAATTACAGACAGTGAGAAGGAGAGACAGAGAGAGTTCTGTCCATTGGTTTACTCCCCAATGGCCGCAATGGCCGGAGCTGCGCCTATCTAAAGCCAGGAGCCAGGTTCTTCCTCCTGGTCTCCCACATGGATACAGAGGCCCAAGGACCTGGGCCATCTTCTATTGCTTCCCAAGGACACAGCAGAGAGCTGGATTGGAAGAGGAACAGCTTGGACTAGAACCGGCGCCCATATGGGATGCTGGCACTGCAGGCAGAGGATTAACCTACTGCACCATGGTGCCAGCCCCAGAAGCCGAATTTAATCTAAAGTCCTACCCCCTTGCAGGTACCCACTTCACCAGGAAACTCCTGGCCCTGGTTCAACAGTCATGTACTTACAAGCAGCCTCTCAATGGGGCCAATGGGACCAACAAAACCCTAAGTGGATACATCTCTGAGTTCATTGTGAAAGCTGCAGATACTGAGCTGCTGGATTATCTTGCACCTCCTGCTGCTTTGTGAAGACAAGAACATGCCATATGGGTGCTGGATCCTGTCCCGGTTGCTCCTTTTCCTGTCCAGCTCTCTGCTGTGGCCCGGGAGTGCAGTGGAGGATGGCCCAAGGGCTTGGGCCCTGTATTCCATGGAAGACCAGGAGAAGCACCTGGCTCCTGGCTTTGGATCAGTGCGGTGCGCCAGCCGCAGTGCGCCGGCCGCGGTGGCCACTGGAGGGTGAACCAATGGCAAAGGAAGACCTTTTTCTCTGTCTCTCTCTCTCTCTCTCACTGTCCACTCTGCCTGTCAAAAACAAAACAAAGTAAAATAAAGTCAGGGCGTAGGAAAGCCAGAGAGAAGGAATTGTGAGCAGAACAAGTACATAGAGGGTCCAAGTACAATGCTGACCCCTGACCAGCCACTATAGAGAGATGGGATTGTAGGGCCCAGGCCCTGGTTTGGAATACTGTTGTAGTTTGGATTCTTCAAGGTTCACACCCTGTGTTGCAATGATCATATTCTGAATACAAAGCACTCATCAATGTGTGGCATTTACTGCCTACAAAAGCAATTTTTAAAAAGTGATGCTTGATTTAGTAGCATCAAACTGGAAACAACGCAAATGAAAACTGTATCAATAAAAGGAACAAACCACTATTTCATGCAGTAACATGGATAAGTTCATGGGAATAATGATTAAGAAACACGCTATAGATTGAAGTGTTCTTTGTTGAGTATGTTGGGCAGATTTTAAAGTGGCTACCTCCCATTCTCCTTCCCAGAAGTATGAGAGCATTTTTCTCATATTTCACTAACTGCTTCTCTGCTGGAGTTAAAACAAAGAAAAAGGGTCAGCTCCACTCTCCATATAAGACTAGGCAGTTACTGGGTTTTTAAATCTCAGACTTAGACACACAACAATGACAAGAACAGATGCTGTCAAAGACACAGAAAAATAGCAGCTTTCTTTCATTGTTGGTGGAAATGGGAAATAGTATAGCTACTTTGAAAGATACTTTGGTAATTCTAGACAAAGCTAAACATGTCATATAACCAATCCATCAACTGTCCTAGGTTTATGTGAATAATAGGAAACTTTACGTTCACGTTAGAACCTGCACATGAGTATTTAGAGCAGCTTTATTCATAATATACCTGAATGGGAAGTAACCAAGATGTCCATCACTAAGTACCTCAGGATGGGAGGCTATGAAAAATTTTCAAAAATGAATGTTCTTTCCAACCTTCATGCTGGCAGCTCAAGCAAATATTCATGGAAACATTAAAGTTGTCACCTAAATCCATGCAGAAGGCCTTTCCAGTACAGCACAACTGACTTAGCCTGAACAGATGCAGGTGGTACAAAGAGGGTATAATGTGTAAGGAGGTTAAAATGACAGAAATGTGGCAGCAAGGACAAACATGAAAAAATGAAAGGGAGGGAGGATTGGAATGAGGACAGGCAAGAGAGAGAGAGGCAGACATGAAGGAGAAGATCTAGAAAGAGTTACTATCAACAACTTAAGTCAAATAGATTACCCTGACCACTCTGCATTTCACTGATGGCACACTGTGGTCACGGTGGATAAGCAGGACCTGTGGTCCTTGGTTCAAATTTGTATTTTAACAGTGAGAGGACCCTCGGTCTTAACCTGCTAACTGCAAAGCTGCTCTATGGTTTTTGCTTTTTTCTGGATTAGTCAGCTCCCCACATCCTTCCCCAAACAGGCAAGGAGGCTTTTGGTAGACTGCAAGAGGACAGTGACTGTACAGGATGTACTTCCAAGGCAGGAATGGACAGCACACCAGGGTGAAGGCCATGAACACACCATGCTGAGCCTTCAGATACCATCATGAAGACAGGAAGCCATAATCTCCGGGCATGTGCCCAGGTCTCTGAGAACCTCCTTTGCGTTTAAATGGAATTTGTTTTTCTCTGGAAATGTTTTTCTCTGGAAAAGCCCTAGTCAAACTGTTCCAAAAATGTAATGGGGATGGGGGCATTCAAATGAATATATTGAGGCCAATAATAACTTTATTCCCAAACTAGACAAGAACATAACAAAAAATAAAACTACAAACCAATATCCCTGATAAACATAGATGAAAAAATTAATGACAAAAGACTAGGGAATCAAATCCAACATCCTTAAAAAAAAAAAAAAACACCAAAAAGCATATATCATGATCAACTGTGATTTATTCCAGGAATGCAGGGATGGTTCAACAACCACAAATCAATGAACATATGACATCATCATATGATCATCTCAGTTAATGCAGAAAAAGCACTCAATAAACCCAACATCCATTTATGATAAAACTTTGAACAAATTATGGATGGAAGTTGCACACAATCAACACAATAAGCCTATTTAGGAAATTCTCATAGCCAACAACATATTGAATGTGAAAACGCTGACAGCATTTCTTCCATGATCTAGAACAAGGAAAGGATGTTCACTCTCATGGTTCTTAATATAGTACCAGAAGTTTTAGAGCAATAAGGAGAGAGAAATAAATTAAAGGCACACAGGAACAAAGAAGTCAAGTAGTCTGTGTATGTAAATGGCATGATTCTATACAGAGACCTACAGACTCTATCAAGAGACTAATAACTGGGGCCGGCACTGTGGATCACTTGGTTAATCCTCCACCTGCAGTGCCAGCATACCATATGGGCACCGAGTTCTAGTCCTGGTTGCCCCTCTTCCAGTGCAGCTCTCTGCTGTGGCCCGGGAGGGCAGTGGAGGATGGCCCAAGTGCTTGGGCCCCTGCACCCTCATGGGAGACCAGGAAGAAGCACCTGGCTCCTGGCTTTGGAACAGGGCAGTGCTGCCCGTAGCGGCCATTTGGAGAGTGAACCAATGGAAGGAAGACCTTTCCCTCTGTCTCTCTCTCACTAAAGCTGTCAAATAAATTTTAAAAATAAAAAAAATTAAAAAACAAACAAATAAATATATAAAAAGAGATTAATAACCAATATTAACCAACTTCAATAATGGTGCATCACACAACAAACACGTAAAAATTTGCATTTTTATTCACCAATGATGAATTAGATGAGATAGAGAGCATATAAGCAATCCCATTCACAAAAGTTACAAAAACCTACTGTGTAATCAATTCAACCAAGGATGTGAAAGACTTCCACAAGAAAACTACAAGGAACTAATGAAAAAAATTGAAGACACACACACAAAACACACACACACACACACACACACACATAAGCAGTCTATGTTCCTGGACTGAAGCATTAATATGAAAATACCAATACCACCCAAGGCAATTTCCATCAAAATACCAGGAACATTCTTCAAAAAACTAGAAAATACAATCCTAAAATTCACATGGAAGCCAGAAAGACACGAAGCTTGCGTGGACTTTTGTGGGAGGGCAGATTCACTTTGAAAACCCCCTCTAGTTATTTCATTAATCTGAATCCCAGCAGTTCAGGCAGGATTTTTTCCAAAGGCGATTTTGAGCAGAAGTAACAAGACTGGTGAAGAGAAATGTGAACCACAGACTCATGTTTCAAGACTCATTTGAAAAGCCTGGTAGGACTCAAACCCAGAGTCCTTAGCGGGCCTTGAACTACCAGCTTTCAGTGAGCAAATGAGGGAACGAATGATTTCCCAGCCGGCACAGACTTTGCGCCTCCGTGCACCTTCTCCTGCCCCCAGGCTGCAGCACCCCGGGGCCCTGCGCCTCCTCCAACCCCGCAGCTCCGGGAGACACGGAGGACAGGGCTCCTAGGGACACGTCTCCAGCTCCTGCCAGGTGCAACCAAACCCTGACAGATCTCGAAGCTCGCGGGTTGAAGGACGCTCACGCCCACGCGCAGAAGGAAACGATCATTCCTGTGAGAGGCTGGACAGACGAAGGCAGCATTTCCTACCGTCCGATCCACGCAGGGTGTCCTGAGACTCCTCTCCCGGCGGGGCGGCCAAGGCTTGCCTACCTGGGCTTGCACCGCCGGCCTTGGCGCATGCGCCGGGCCTTGGCGCGTCTTCCAGCCCCTGCACGCGGCCACCGCCCTCCCCTACCTCGCTCTTCCCAGGAAGCTGTGCGCGCCGCTCCCTCGTCTTCCTCCCTCTGAGCGTCAGTTCTGAGGCCGGGACGGTGCTCTGCCCTCCGGAAACGCTGTTCCTCAGCGCCATCCCGCCAAGCCGCCTCCGCTCCTGGGCCCAGCCTTGGTGTTCGCTCTCGGCGGCTTCTCCCTCGAGCTGGTGTCCCCAGCAATGGCCTCAAGGGCTCCAGGCCGCCGACGTCCTCCAGGGTGAAGGCAGGGCTGAGGGCGTCCCTGTGTGGTGGGTGCGCGCGGCCTCGGCCGCCTGAGGGACCGCGGCGCTGAGGCGCGGCTGGGCGGGGCCTGCGTGGATGACAAACGAGGGGCGTGGCCTCTGCCCACGTGGCCTTCCCGCCGTTTGAGGGCTGCTGTGGAGGCCCCGGCCGGAGTGGGCCCTGGGACTCCCGGGGCCCTGGAACCAAGTCCAGCACCGCCGCCCACTGGGGCCGGTGCGTCCTTAGCACGGGGCCCGGGACGCAGGCGTGCGGGGTCCTGGAGACCTTGCGGTGCTGTGCAGGAAGTGAGGCTGAGCCTGCGGCACGTGACGCGTGTTCTCGCGCACAAGGACGGACGTCCTGACGTGAGGCTGCTCCTCCAGGTGAGGCCATGTGGGTGTCGCACGTCCTGTGTCTGCAGCTTCCGACCGCGTACATGGTGCCGAGTCAGGGATGCGTTGAGACACTGCATATGGAGACGGACGGGACGAGGCGGCTGAGGAGACCCGAAGGGATGTGACGTGGAGTCAGTGGAGATGAGTGATGTGACGTGACGACCTGAGATGCGACGAGACATGCGGCGCTGACCTGGCGTGTGGGGCGGAGGAGACAGGATGTGGGGGACAAAAGAGACATGATGTAATGTGGGGGCAGAGGAAACGTGACCTGACATTGAGGTGGAGTGGAGACGCGATTGTGAGGGGTGAAGACAGGACGTGGGGGTGGAGAGGAGACACCACATGAGGGGTGAAGACAGGACGTGGGGGTGGAGAGGAGACACCACATGAGGGGTGGAGACAGGACGTGGGGGTGGAGAGGAGACGCGGTGCGAGGTGTGGTGCAGGGGAGTCCTAATGTGAGGTCAGAGTTGAGAGGTGACGTCATATGCGGGGCCAGGGATGAAACCGGGGTGGGGGCGGGGAGAGGGGTGCAGGGGAAAGGGATGGGACCTGTGGGCAGAGGGGATGGGCGCTCTCTGTGTGGTTTGGGTCCAGGAGCACATGAAGCCGTGGTGGTGTCTAGAGCTGGGACGGAAGCCCACTCACGGCAGGGGTGCTACTGGTTTCTGGGCCACAGACATGAGCGGTGTTGGCCTTGCAGGGGGGAGTCTGTAGCATGGGCATCGTCACGACGGCAGTAGCACCAGTGTCTGGGGCAGGCGTGTGGTGGTGCTTGGATGGAGGTGGGTCTGTGATGGCTCCACCATGAGCTCTGGGGCTCCTACTGCTGGGGTAAGCATTAGTGGAGACTGCAGAAGTCCTCAGTGGTGAAAGCTCATCTCCTTTCCCCCATGGATGGAGGCCATGGTCAAATGGATCCTTCTTGGTGCTCACCTGTGCCCGTCTGAGAGCGATAGGTAACATCAGCAAAATACATTCTGTTCTGCACTTAAAGAAACAAAAAAGATAGCGTGTAGAGTTTATTTCCCCTCTTTGGGATGCTATGCTACTCTGGGCTTCCACCATCCATTTCTTCCTTCATGTTATCCTGATCCTGCCTTCCACATTGACTGCACACTCCAGGTTCTCTCTGGCACAGCCCCTGAGGCTGCCGCAGACTTGAGGGGAGAAGCAACCTTGGCTGTGTGCAGGGTCCTTTATGCCTGCTGCTCATTGGTGCTTAATTATTGGTGCAGACTGATACTATATTTTTTAAAAGATTTATTTCTTTATTTGTAAGGCAGAGAGAGGAAGTCTTCCATCTGTTGGTTCACTCCCCACATGGCTACAATGGCTGGAGCTGGGCTCATCTGAAGCAAGGTTCACGAGCTTCTTCCTGGTCTCCAATGCAACTGCAGTGCCCAAGGATTTGGGCCATCTTGCACTGCTTTCCCAGGCCATAGCAGAGAGCTGGATTGGAAGTAGAGTAGCAAGGACTCCAACTGGTGCCCATATGGGATGCTGGTACTGCAGGTGGCGGCTTTACCCAGGATACCACAGCACTGTCCCCCAGATATTGTATTAGCATATACTCTGTGTATGCGCACTTGTGTGCACTGTACCATGATTTTTTTTATGATTTTGGGAGACACATTAGAATTAGAGTGTGAGAATCTTAGGCTGTAGGTTCTGACCCATTTCTGTATGTATCTTCTCTAAATTTGCTGGACTCTGTCAGAAGCCACCAACCAATGTTATCTGCTTTTGAGCCTAATTTCCAAATGTCTCTGAGACACCTGGAATGCTCTCTAGTAGCCCCGCCTTCCAGGAACTGTCCTCAATTCAGAACACCTGGAATGATGGGAAATGTGCTTCTCTGCTAGGCTCACTACACTTCCTTCTTGCAAATTCTTCATTAATTAGGCCACTTCTATCACCCCCTGGAAAGTATTCATAGTTCATGGGTCTAGAGTGCCAAGGGTTCCTGCATCCATAGAGGCACTGCTGTCAGTGCAGGGATGTCAGGTCAGGTCTGTGGTTGCCAGAGTAGTCTGCAATGGGAGCTTCCTCCAGTCACTACTGTCACTGATGTGGTTGGCACCAGAAATAGTCTTTGCTACTTTCTCTTTCCTGTACTTTCCCCATATATCATGTGGACATAGTGATCCTCACACCCCATTGTATAGTTTAGAACTGCACACTTTATAATGGTATTATATGGACTGGTATAAATTTTTTCTTTAGCTGTGTAAAAGGGTATGCAGAAAGGTACATAAAACGTAAATATCACCTTTAACAAATTGCTACAAGTTAACATATCCTCTACTCACCTTAATACCTGGAATACAGATTCCTTCCAGAAGCTTGCAAGATACCCTTTCCATCCTACTATCTTGTCTCACTGTTCAGAACACTTACCATAATGTCATCTTCACAATGTTCTGTTTTTCTTCCAGGTTATAATTTTCTGCTTCTTATGTGCTTCTAACAGGTCTGAGTTTTAATCACTCAGTATTTGTACTCATATACTTGGTGGCTTTCTTCACTAAGACTTAGTGATTTGGTAGTCAACAGTCACTTATCCTCAGTGCCAATGAAACAAACTGCAATTTGACTTCCCAGTCTGTCAGTGATACACATTTTTAAAAAAATTTTTTTTGACAGGCAGAGTGGACAGTGAGAGAGAGAGACAGAGAGAAAGGTCTTCCTTTTGCCGTTGGTTCACCCTCCAATGGCCGCCACGGCCAGCGCGCTGCAGCCGGCGCACCCGCTGATCTGATGGCAGGAGCCAGGTGCTTTTCCTGGTCTCCCATGGGGTGCAGGGCCCAAGGACTTGGGCCATCCTCCACTGCACTCCCAGGCCACAGCAGAGAGCTGGCCTGGAAGAGGGGCAACCGGGACAGAATCTGGCGCCCCGACGGGGACTAGAACCCAGTGTGCCAGCACCACAAGGCGGAGGATTAGCCTAGTGAGCCGCGGCGCGGGCAGTGATACACATTTGAGTTGTTTCTAGTTTAGGTAGCTGTACTGGAACAACTAAGTCTCTGAGTTATACAAGAACGAACTCCAGGATCCTGTTATGCCAATCCAAGCCTTTATGGATTAAAAAAAAACTCAAAGCAAAATATGCAGATTGCACGATGTATATGCAAGCCACCAAACAAAATGCACACATAGGATGTATTGGATGTACAGACCTAGGATTATATGTCAAGCACTAATCCTTGTATTTTTGTCATGTCTTCCCTACTCCTTTTAAAAGGTTTGATATCTGCAGACATTTCATAAAAAATGACATAGGGTAGCTTGATTCTGACTCAGCAGACAGATCTCCTCAGTCTATGAGGAGCCCTGGCCTGCACTTCCTTTTCATTTTGTATCCTATGCTATGGATTCTCAGCACAGGGTCTGTTTTCCATTTAAATTTCCTCGCTTGAAAAATGTCTGCTCAGGTCCTTTGTCCTTTCTTAACTAGGTTGTTTGTTTTGTAGTTGTTGAGTTTCTTGAACTCTTTACAGTTTATGGAATTTAATCCTTTATCAGTTGCATAGTTTGCAAATATTTTCTCCCATTTTGTTGGCTGCCTCTTCACTTTGCTGAGTGTTTCTTTTGCAGTGCAGAAGCTTCTCATTTTGATGTAATCTAATTTGTTAATTTTGGCTTTGATTACCTGTGTTTCTGGGGTCTTTTCCAAGAAATCTTCCCCTATGCCAATCTCTTGCAGAGTTTCTCCAATGTTCTCTAGTAATTTGATTTAGGTTTCTAATCCATTTTGAGTGGATTTTTGTATAAGGTGTAAGGTAGGGTCTTGTTTTATACTTTTGCATGTGGAGATCTTGTTTTCCCAGCACCATTTGTTGAAGAGAATGTCTAGGTTGCAGGGATTGATTTTTGGCCCATTGTCAAAGAAAAAGGTTACTTCATTTTCAATCCTAAACCCCTGGGTGCTTTCTAACCTACCACCATTCTGTAATTGTATCTTTTCTAGTAAGAAAGTCCTCAATGGATTTGTTTGTCTGCTCATTCAATTCTGATCTGTTCTGTTATCCAATCTCCAAACTATGCTACTGCATTCTCTGCATCTTGGGATGCTTCCAGTATCAATCCATAGATTTCTTGGATATGGTTTCTCATCTACACCTAAGGAACTGGTCAGGGAAAAGATAGGAATCTCTAATTATTGTAGTTTAAAGTTTAATTCCTTTGTCTACATTATCTTTGTTTCCACTGATTTGTTTGACTTTCTTACATTTGTCTGTTTTTTGAAATTTCATATGTGGGATTTCATGTAGGGTGATAGGACCATCCAGTTAACCACTTTGTTGAGATTCCCTCAGACATGAGTATCTCTGAGGCTGTTTGGTTGATCCAATGAGCTTTCCACCTTCTTGTCTAAGGTGGCAGTAGGGATAGAATATACCTGAATGTGAGACTGAGGGTCATAGAGAGTAATGGGGCTAATGCTCTCATTGTTCAGTGGCCAGGCTACTACTCAGTTACTGTGATTTCAGATCAAAGACTTACTGGTATCTACTTTGGGATTTCAACATCCAGGGCCTTATCTTTGACTTCTTCACAGATTAAGCCTCCAGGATCCCGCCTAGAGTGAGTTGTTGCCTAAGTCGAGGAGAGGGTGTTGCAGAAGTCTTATGATCCATTTGCTTCACTAATAAGCTTTCATCTTCTCCCCTCTTTCTGTGCCTCACCCTCCTAGGGTATTAATGTCCTCAAGTCTGCAGGTGTTCCTAGGAGTAGTGCCTTTGACTTCTCATTGTTTTCCCCTTCTGCATGCTCATTAGCTGGTTGCTCCTTCTCTGATGGGTCAGTTAGCATTCTTCCTGCACTTTCTATATTCTAAAAAGATACTGTGATTACTTTATTTCTTTAGTCTACATAGGCCCCTCTCCCATTTTATTTCTTCCTGTGGGTTATACCTTTGCCATTTCTTATTTATTTATTTATTTTTTATTTTTTTGACAGGCAGAGTGGACAGTGAGAGAGAG